TACAATTTAATTCACGTCGGATAAACGAAAAAAAAATTGTATCTTCCATCACCAACCATATCACAATCCATTCCAATCAGGAAACAAAAACACCAAAAATTTAGGAATTCCAGCACCAAATGCTATGTCATGAGAAATGACAACGACCACTATTTAAGCTCAACCCAGCAACATGGTGTGTCATCAGAAATGACAACGACCAGTATTTAGCACCTTCAGCATGGCATCGTATGTGATGAGAAATGAGAATAGGCAGTGTTTGCGACCAACCCAGCATCTCATGGTATGTCATGAGGAAGACGCCGACCACTATGCATGACGGAGGTGTGACAGGTGACCTATCGGGAAGGCTGGAGATGGCAATTGATTGACCTGCAATGAAAACTATAACTGACAGATAATGCAAGTACAAGGTTTTTTGAAAATGAATTAGGTGGATTCTGCGTGTTCAGGCAGGGACGGTGCATGTATCACACCATTCCAGAGAAAGATTGGGCATGCCTGGCATGTGGATCTCCAGCATCTCCGGATGCTAGAATCGGTTTCGTGTTTAGAACCTGAGGCGCTCTGGAAGATCCGGCGTCTGGCGTAGTGACGCTGGATTTTCGGAGAACTGCTGTGGAAAACCTTTTTCCTGATTTGAGGGATATGACCAATACCTATCCACCGGTCACTATCGAGTGTGGAACCCGTTCATCCAGCAATGCTGTCTAAGTCACAGGGAAGGCGAACCCAGATATTATTTTATCATAGCACTCAGCGAACGGTGCAGGTGAGCGCTGAAACAATTATCGGCTTGTTAAGTCGTAGTCATCCATGGGTATAACCGTATAAACGAAATACTAAATTTACAGCGAATGACAGGTAAAAAGGTAAAAACAGGCGCACTGCAAACCACGTGAAAAAGGCAAATCATTCGATATTGGCGCATCGCTGCGGTGGATAAGAACGAAAAGACCCGCACCTACTTAAACTCAACTAGAATGCATGCACAGCAACCCACACATCCACAGGGACATCTTCGAGTGATAATCCGAGTAACAGAGACAGAGATGCGTCCGTATCTGCACACCGCCGTTTCCCAGCTTTCGTGGGACCCACACTTGCGATGGGTGTGGCAGTGTGTGAATGCGCTAATGTGTTATCGTGTTTCTCTACCGCGGTCGTGCACCAACATTGAGTGATATGCCTTTTTGGCGTGGTTAGCGGTCTGCCTGTTTTCTCTTTTTGTGTCTGATTCAGTGTATATCCAGTGTTTTGCCTATGTGACTCTATCAACGAAAGACTACGATTTGGTGTGCCTAGCTGTGTTTCGACGCTCATCCTCTCGCTTCGCTCCATCATGTGATGAACTTCATTTCAGGTTCCGCCGTCGCAGTGAGTTGTGCAGCAATACAATATCCACAGTTTCCGTACTCGATTGTGACGCACGGACGGGTATTGGCCATGGCTTTCATATCAGATGAGTGATTTCCCTCAGTAGTTGCCGGGGGTATTGCTGCTGTGTATCCCGCATCTCTGGCATGCCCGATTAGTTGGATATGTGGCACTGCTGTTCCTGTACAAAATTATCTTTGAGTAAATCTCGAACAAACTCCGATCCATGAGAAGTTGTTCCATGAATATTAAAATCGTTCATATCAATGCCAAGTACGAACGAACTAACGAAGTATAAAAACAACCCACAGACAATTAGAATAATACATGTTAGAACACGTCGTCATCTCGATAAAATGCACACAAAATGAGAGCTTCTTGAATAATCTAATTATCTAAATAGCATCTTTCGAACAATCCTAATCCAGCACTAACAAACTTGTGATAGGGTAGATATTTGGCGACTTTAGCAAATAGTTAAATTTATTGTTCAACTCTAATTCACTCTTCTAATTACTCGAATCAAAATGCAAATGACGAAAAATACTTTTTATGCGGCTACAACAATCTACTACAAAAGTTGAAATAGACATATTTCAGCTGATTCAACAAATCAAAATTAGCAATAATCCAGATAAATTTTGTACATGTTATTGAATACGCTATAACTAAAGAAGAAATAGTATTAAATGACAATAGAATCGGATTATATCAACGATATTGTGTGTAATCTGGCGATCTTTTCGAAGGATATGGTTATATGTAAACATCACCCTACACTCAAATGCACTGCATGGCTAGTTGAAAATGTCTTACTAGTTGTATGTTCTCTGTAACCAAGACCAGGATGAAATATATTGTAATGTGCAATCCATCGAGGTTGTACACTCATTGCTATCGTTAACGAGGAGTAGAGCCTCAAAAATATTGTTCATAATCTTATGCTATCCATCGTCTTCAAAAATAGATGTGAGTTCTTAAAAACCAGTTTTGATTATCTGGATAAATTTCATTATTTAGCTAGCTGTTGAACCATTTTAACAGTTTTCAGTCCCTTCATCAGATAATTTTTTGTTGACCCTTATTTTAGATGATTCAGAAAAAAACGAGTCTTCAATTTCTTACTGAACATTAGAAAACATTCCTTGAATGATATGGAGTGCTCTTACATATCTGTCATAATCTAGATTTTTTGATTATCATTGGCTTGAAGTGTAGAAATCGATGAATCGAGCAAACCACAAAGTCATTTGGACTGTGAGTACTGATAGTGAGACAAGGCAGAGCCCAAATCGTAAAACTGATTTCTATGATGTTACTACCGTGAAATGAGCAGGCTGCCACTAGCATTTTGAGAAGTACAATCGAAATGATGCATAAGTCTTACTTCATTCAAATTTCAAAGCATACAAAAAACACATCTATCTTTGTTACTTATTAAAAGATGTTTGCGGAGTCTTTAGAGTTGATTGACTCATTTTTTCTTACAACAATACTCCTCAGAACAATTTTTACATTTAAATCTCCATTGGTTCTTTCTTTGATGAATTCTTAATTTACTACCATTGTCTGATAGTATTTTTTTATATTACAACATGCATTCGTCGCACTTATTACTGTAAAAAGAATCATCTTAGCATTCAATGCTAAAAAATAGCAACAATGGTATCTGGATTATATATACATTAAAAGAGCAAAACTCAATTCTATATTCGTGTTTTGATTATTAAAATTTAGTAGTTGATTGATCTATTGCTTTATCACATGATTTACAAACGCGTTCAGGTGTATACCATTCGCGTTCCGGTACGGGACGACGATTCGGCGAGCATGTATCACAAACACCTTCACCACATCTTCGACTAGAAAAATGATTGTTTTATGTAAAATAAAATTAATTCATTCAAGCACATACCAATGATGTAGTCGATGTGTGGTACTATTAAATTGATATTTACAAATAAAACAACAATGGCATTCAATATTTGGCCGCCAATAAGATGGTCGGGTACGTTCTTGAATATGTTCTAGGTAATCACATCATATTATTTATTATTCCAACACCGAAATTTCAATATTTATACTCACTAATAGAATAGTCGTACACCACATTTCCAATATTATCTTGAACCAGTTCCACGAAACGTCTTGATATTGGAATATGATGCGTGTTTGAGTCTGTACAAGAAAAATTGAGTTCGATAAAATATTTACTGATTGAAAAATTTACCTGGTGAACTTTTAGTAATATTCGTTTCATCTTCGGAGACATTTTTTTCTCGAGTACATTTAGAATGATTTCGAGATGACGACGAAAGTGTATCGGACTGAATTCGTTCAAAACATTCATCGCAAACACGCTTAGGTGTTTTGATGTCAACTAATGGAACGATAGTACGATGTGTTGTGCATGTATCACAGAAAATATTGCCACATGCTATGTAAAAAAAACAACGTAAACGATTGAAATCATTTATTAGCAATATGAATCCGCAAATTAAAAATAAATGTATCATGATATGATCAACTTCAGATACTCTGAGCGAATCGATCGCAAAAACCTTTTCATTAAACTCACAGCTGGCCACAAATACAACCATATACTTTCACTTCACATGTTTTCAATGGACAATAGCTTATTTCAAGGAAAAAAGTAAAAACATTTTCTATCAACAAACCTCGGCAATGATGTTTCGAGTGATTATACCCAAAAACAAGTTTACATGATGAACATTCCTTTACAAAAGATAAAATTAATCAATTAAACTAGAAAATCTTCTTACCTGAACATCTTTATTTGGAACCCAATAGGATGGTGCTACTTGAGCTGCTACCATTTCTTTTAACATTTTTGTTGGAGCTGATAAATAACTATGATACAAAAGAATCAATTAAATTTTTCTTTAATACGAAATTTCAATCGAACCTTCCAGCATAGACCACCATTTCAATAAATTTTCTAGGTGTGACATCACTAGCTACTCGATTATTGTCTTCTCCTGGCCAAATATGAATAACTTCGACACATGTTACATCTTTGGGTTCATTATTTCCATACCAATGTTTTCTTGATCGATAGATCTCACCATGATATGGACATTCGATAACAAAACCGGACCAAACATATTTCAGAAGGCCTTGTACAAGTCCATCATCTTTTGTAATTAATTTTCCATATACAATTGTATCACGTTTATCACGAGGACATTGTAAACATTTCCAAACTTCATTATCTAATTCTTTATTATACGAACATCTTTCATCACATTTGTGTGGAATTTTTTCTTTCTGATGATTTGCAGCTAATGTACATTTGTTTCTATTGAATTCAACAAAAATAAAAGAAACTACTGATGTGTAAGAGATACTTACCCACAGGATAAACATTTAAAATAACACGTAAAAAAGTCATCGGGTAAAGTTGAAGGCATTTCAGGAGGGATAGCGTGATTGAATTTTTCATTTAAAGCCTAAATAACATCAATAAGCAATGATACCGATGAATATAATTATTTTACCTTTAAGACTTTAAAAATAACTGATAAATTTCTTGGTGAACGAATTTTGTTATTTTCAAGTTTGTCTGTTATAGCTGCTTTTATGCCTCTAAAATCAGTTGATTCTCCACCTGATGTTTGAGTTCCAACATATTCAATCGAACTAAACATATAAATATATATATTGTTATAATAGTTTTCAATTCTATGCTAATAAACCTATATGCATCATATGATAAGTTCATTTTTTCGAAACGTTCTTTTAATTGTTCAACAGCTGTTTTTTGACATTGCAAATGATCTAAAATAGATTTCAGCTTCATATTGACTTTTTTCAAATATCTATAGACAAGAAAACAAACCTCTGAGTATTTCAGTATATTGTGTTTCATGAAAAACAATCAACGTTGGTCCCATTGCTGACACGGGTCCATCAACTCGACAACTTTTCATCACATTTTCTAATTCTTTTTTAAAATATTTTAAAAATGCATTGGAAGCATCAGATAGAAATTGAAACATATCATTGGGTAATTTAGGTGCTTTTGTTCGATATATAACAATGTCACTGACACAGAGAATTTTCAGTAGAAGTCTATTACGAATATTATCATTTTGTGATAGGCCAAGTCGACCTTCTGTATCAAGAATAAGTGTTCGTTGATTTTCGTCCAATGTTGACCATACACCAATAGTACATGATTCAGTTGTTGATGATGTATGAAATTTCTGTTTACCATTAAAAAATACTTGATTTAATGTATATGATTTTCCATCTCCTGTATTTCCAATAATAGAAACACATTTAACTTTTGAATCTTGCTGTAAACATTTAAATTGACGAATAAAATCGAATTCACTGTTAACCTAGACAATTATAAGATTAATCGATGGAGTTTTTTTTGCTGTTCTCTACGAAATCCTATTAGAAACGTTGACTTACAGTTAGATGTTCATCACCATCCAACAATAGAAAGACTTCATTCGAATCAGTATTCGCAGGATTTGGTTGATAATGCTCATGAGATGTACGATCATTGGAATGCTCTTGTTTGGATATGTAGTGCGTATTTTGTTTCTGTTGAGAGGTAACATTTGGAGAGATTTTTGTTTGTATGAGATCGCTTTGTTGATCTGATGGTGAAATAAATTGCACATCATACTTATCTAGTGGAACATCCGCAAATGTAGATGAAGAGCTATGTTTATGGTGATTTTGTTTTTGAGTATCGTTGTTGTTTGCAGTTGAGAATAATTCTGGATAAATTGTTTTCCCTTCTGTTTGAGAGCATGCACTAAAAATAAAAATTTGACGAAGTAAACAACACTCCGAATAGATTGCGTTTGTTTCATATAAAAATGAATACTAATTTATTTTCTAAGCTTAGTGTTGCGTCTTATCAAATAATCTAAATCTTTTGCTATACTAATTAAAGTCTCATAATAGCCTAAAGCTTGAGTACCAAATAACATCATTTTATCAGCTTACTTATCATTTTCTACGATGTTACTTTGTTTTTCCCTACACTTTTGTAGTTTATGTTCTCTTCCATTTGTATTTTGATGTCTACTTTCGTAACATGAATAACAAAATAATAATGAACACGTTGAGCAATAAAACACAGCTGGATGACTTGGATCAATTGAGCAGCGTTCATTATTAATTGTGTCTAAATCTAATCTTTCATGTTGTTTAAGATGTCCACTGTTATGCATTTGTTTTTCACATGAAATACATTGCAATGAATTACATTGTATACAATAGACTATTGCTTCTGATAATATCTTACTATCACATGTTTGATATGCAGTGCACATTAAAGAGAACATTGTAACTGAAAAAAGTTATTATGAAAGCAGTTTTTTTAAATAATACAGAAAATAACCCGTGATATGTTTCCCCTGATTCATTTTCTCAATATATCGACACGTTGGATAAAAACCAACTTTGGAAGTAATTTTTCATATTAAATGTCTTATTTAGTCCTTGCAACAAGCTTCAGTTTTCATAGATGTCACTAAATATATTCATATCTCTCTATTGGTTGTATGCTTCTTAACGTCTGCACACATGCATGCGTATTTATTTTATTCAACACAACTAGACAGAAAGAACGCGGTGTAAAATAATATCATAGAGTTGACCAATATTAATAACATGACCGATCAATATATGGTATCAATGATGGACACAAGTCGAAATATGTCATTTGATAGTAGTGGACTTTTAACGTGTTCAACGATTAATGGACTACATTTTCCTGGTCTTACAACATCAGAACTATCAGATACAGGTGGAGGTGGTAGTCGAAGAACAAGTTTTCTTTATGACAGTCCCTCCATGTGTGAATCAATGATAGAAAGTTTCTCGTCCGCAGGACGAGGAGGGGATGGTGGTCACGATGATACAATATTAATTAATCATGCAAACATGCTGCAATCAGATCCATCAATAATGGCTAGTTTAAAGATAGAAAAGCGAGATTCATTTATACAAAGAAAACGTCGTTCTCGTAAATCACAATTTGATGCATCATCACTCGATGCAACAATGTCACTTGATAAAATCGAACCTGTCTATGCAATCGGTGAACAAAATGAAGCGGATGATGTTTGGTAAACGTTTTTTTCTTCTATTGGTTAGTTTTTTTTTATATCGTTTGTTTCTGTTAGGTTATATGAAGTACCAAACCATGGACATAAAACTGATCCTGTAACTGATAATATATTTTCATGGGTTCATAAAGAATTTAAAACAAATGATATCAAAGCTAGTAAACATCTACTTCTTTGCAAGCTTGATGATATGTCAAATGGTAAATAACTAAATTGCATTCACACTGAGAAGAAAAACTAACCACATTTATTGTATTTTGTTTGTTAAGCACGAGCAATACGAAGCGTATCATGTCATAATTTTGTTCCTAATCGAAAATCTGATAATGTGAAACGAAGTTTAACAGAACAAGAAGTTAATTCAGGTAAAAACTATTCACTTCCAATGGATCAATATATCTAACTGAGTGTCACATCTCATTATGTTGAAAAAATTTTGATTGTATAGAAAAAGAAAATGATGAAGAGTTCGATAATTATATGTTTTATTATTGATTGACATTGTTTAATTGAAAAATAATGCTGAACATTTTAGTGATATTGATTTTATTTTTTCCATTATAGAACCCGTGAGAAATGGTCATGTTCGATCGATATCACCATTTCATCCTAGTATTGTAATTACAAACAGTCATGAAAATAGTACTGTATCAACTATGATGCGATCAAGAGATACTTCAAAAGAACGTGAGCGAGAACCATTGGATTATACTGATCTTGAAGGTAATTTAAAAAATTGTCGGAATATTAAGTATCCGAAATTACTCATTAACACCAAACGAATAGAAATGAAGCAAGTGTATTCGATGAGATTGATGATGTCACATTAGTGTTATTTGGCGGATATAAATATAAATCTTCTATTGATTCAGACTCAATCATGAATGAATTTGTCTAGAATGGCAGATACAATAAGTCGAAACATTTACATTGAGAAGATCGTTTTTTGTTTATATGCAGTGGAGATTAATATAAAAAAATGGTTTATGGTATCAGATCTGAAAACTTGAAGATATACAATATCTTCTGAAAGAAACTATTTCATTGTCTGTTCGCCTCCCGAGATTATAGAATTAGATTTTGTATGATATCATGAAGTTGACTAATTATTATTTTTTAATTTAATTTTTAGTGATGGCTAAAATGCAACTCGAGAGTTCGTATATCTGACTTTTTCTATATTGTCATACAATATCTATATGTTTCATTCAGATTTACGTCAAGCCGAACGACAAGGCCCATTATTTAAACGTTTTGGTATGTTATTTTTTTACTTAAAGGAATTTTATTCGCCCTACGCAAAATTATTTTTATCAATCAATTGAGACAATCTATTTTTCATTTAATTCATGTGCAACCGATGTTTAAACATAGATCCGCTGCTCATCTATACATTTTCAACGAACAGTTCATTGAGTATACACATTCAGAATGTATCGTCAGAATCTATTGGTTATAACGAAATCTGAATATTCTCAAGTTTCATCATATTCAACAGCAATCGTTGGTCTATGAAATCAATATCAATACTTAAAATCTATCCACAAACAAAATAGATCGTCTAATAACGACATCAGGTTTATCAAAACATCATTAATCTATTGATTTTGTTTTCCGCATATCACTACTTTGCACTTTAATGCTTGACTACTAAATATGTTTTTGTGTGTCCTTTGCTTTATTGGTTTGCTTTATGTGCTTGTAGGCGGTTCTAATGCTTCTCTTGCATCAACAAGCAGTATCACCAGTGTAACCGTGTCAAGTGAGTCGTTTTCTTTTACGAATGAATTCCTCTTGATTTATATTTAAATAGTAGTGAAATATGATGAGTGTAATAAAAGGAAAAACCTACTGCGTTTATAAAAAAAATTCCTTGTTGCTATTTACACATGAAACGTTTTTGACAGCGTAGATTTTTATTTAAACTTGACTGGCGTGTTTAATGTCGTTAGAAAAACCGTAAGCTAAATTATCATAGGCATAGCAACATTTGTTTGTTGGACAGGACGAAGAATATTTTTTATAAGACAGTCTTTTAAAATCGTGTAAAGGTTTTTGTTGTTGTGGATAATTGGCTAAAGAAGAATAATATTGGATTTGCAAAAAAAAAAATTTTTTTTTGTAAATATACTTTCGATTGTCTTGACTCCATGTGTTGTATCGAGTTTTGATTTTTCGTTACTCATATCTGAAGAAATCAAATCAATAAAGAATATATTTGTTTTCATGGCCAACTGAATGTGCCATGCTTATGGTAATGCATAAATGACACGATCTGAATGAGAAAAAGCAAAAGTGCCGCGAAGGAAGAATAAAAAAACAGTGAACTTTGTTTGTTTTAAAGTGCGAGAGAAAGAAAAAATTGTTTTTAAAATTTACCTGTTCGCATCAAGTATTTATTCAAAATCGGTCGACCGTTCAGATGCGTAGTCTTGTAGCGCGTATTATTTCTTCACTTCATATTAAATAAAGAAGAGATACTTCCGTCGGTGAACACTATTCTATTTGCGATTAAATAATTATCCTCATAAGCTAGAGATTTGTGTCAGACAAAAAAAGAAATATACTCACGTGTCGTTTAACTTTGAGTATTTAAAATAACTAATTTATTGAAGCAGAAATCATTGTAAAACTATTGAATTAGAAAATGCCACTTAAAAGATAAAAGTGTCAAATGTGAAGAAAGATCTCTGTTGTACTTGTGAAATTTTTGTCTCAGTCGTTGTTTGTTTTTCAAAATGAAAGGAACGTTAATCTCCCACGTTGTGTTATATGGCTCATGCTTGGTTGTAAATAATTTCCCCTCGAAGCAAAAGTATTCAGGACCCAGCTTTTTACGATAATTTTGAGTTATCCTGAGGTAGACGTGCATTAGTCTCGAGAATTTACAGCGCTGATGAATAATTTCTCTCATATACTCATGCTTTCATTTCACATGCATGTGAATTTTATCATTGCTTAAATCTTGTCTATTAATAAAATGAGTCGCTTTATATTCGTACAATCGATCATTGTAATTATTTTTGTTTTACATTAGATCGAACAGGAACCAAGCCTCCCGTTCCACCAAAAACAACAATAACAAGGTTAATATATTCTCAATCAAACATTATTTTCATAAGTTTAACATTAACAATGTTTTAGAAATGGTGTCAAACCAAATAATCCTCGTGTATCAACTATGCAGACAAATACGAGAACCAATGGTCATGATATACCATCCGTTCCTCAATCAAAATCTTCAGTGATAACAACACGTGCTAGTGTTCTCCCACCAAATTCAGCTAATAATAATCGTACACGACCAGTAACAGCTCGGCCAATTCAAACGTATCGTGGTTCACAAACATCTTACAATAGCACTGATGCTAAAACTCAACTCACGTCAGCATCAGCATCTGTTCTACGAACTGTTAAAAAAGTAACTAATGGCTTGGGTTCAACAGTACCTACAAAAGAATTAAGATCGACTGAAAATGGTCTACTCAATGATGTAAGTAATAAACCATCAACAGCTCCAATACGATCGCAAGTTGGACCGCAACGACGTACTGTATTACCTCATTCATCAACCTATTCAGCTGTTGAACGAATTCCATCATCGTCATCATCAGTGGATATAAGAACACACCGACAAACAATTATTCCACGTAGTTCATCATCAACAATAAGTCAAGGAAGAAAAAGTGGAATACCAGCCTTTGGAACGCAACAAAAATCTGCCACTACAGCTCTTGCACGGTAAGTTTATATTTTTTGTTTTATATTTGGGTAACTTTACCATGGATTAGTTGGTTTCTTATTTTCTTTTCACTGATCACATTGAACATATTTTTTCAGTCATCATTCACTTTCTTCACGACGTACGACGATGGTTGGATTCTAACTAATAGGCACGAGTATATAATAGTAGATACAATATTAACATATTTCCAATTGCATGTTGCATGTTTTTTTTAATATTGTTCATATGAATTAAAATCATACTCTATTTTATTTAGACCTACATCGTCAAAATTAAATCCTTCTTCTCAATCTTGGGACAGTAAGATGGTCACGAGAACTGCTCGAGGACAACAATCAATAGGACGTCCTCAACCATCAATATGGAATGAAGGATGCTATTAATTACTCCACTATGTTTTCTTTGCTTCGATCTGTATTTCATCGTGCATGCATACATTTTTTTCTGACCTGCCTGCTCGAATAACGGTGACATGCGTCTATTCTCTTTGATCTTCTTTGGCTATGATGACAAGTTATTTTTCTTGATTTTCCTTGTACAATAAAAAAATCTTCTTTTGTTTTTATTATATCAGTAGTATATACTTGTCGCTGTTGATAAATTTCAATTCGCTGATCAACTTTATGTTTGACTGTAAGATTAATTGATCTTCTCTTTTTTTTTTCTTTTGCTCTTTCTTTATTTCACAGTAATTGTGCCTTGATGATATTTGTTTGTTGCTTCTTTGCTTTGTATACATTTCTACATGGTGCTAAATCTGTCTCTTTTTGTTCTTGTAATCTTTCAAGAAAAAGTAAATCAACGATATAGATAAACAAAATTTTATATATTAATTATAATAATAATAATAATAAATAAAAGACATTTTCATTGATTATACTTAGATTATTAACTTTTTTCAGTACTTATTATTATTACTGCGGCTAATATGGGTACTCAGGTGGGTGCATGATATTTCAGTTTGCTTTATTCTTTGTGTCTAAATAAAACTCTTATTGTCTAGTTTCGTTTAACGAAAGAAGAGAGTGCATTGATGGATGAATGTCGAAAAACGAGCTTCTGGTATCGATGTGAGTGCTAGATTTTTGAATATTGATTTAGCAGAGGGGACATTATTGTTTTTCTCTATAGCTGTACCATTGATGGCAATTACAACAGGTGTTATGACATACCGACGTTTGAATAGTATGTTTTATGGTGATGTCTTCGAGATATTTACTCTATGATCAATTTAGGTCCAACAGGAATACAGTTTTATGGTTTGAAGTTATCGGGAGTTATTTTTGCAGGTAATGAAATTTTTCTGATAAGTCATAGGATACTAAGACGTGAAATGAGGGCGATAGATAGAGCTCACAGACGACAGTATTGACTTGAGTACCATGATTCTTGCAGTATTTTTCTTATATTTGCCAAGATATACGAGCTCTCCTATAGGGTAGATATATTCATATTTATTTCAAGTTGAATCACAAGAAATAAAGTCGATTCGTATTGGCACTACTTTCACGTAACTTTAATACTTCACGATGTAATATTCAAGTATGGTTTTCTTTGCTTTAGCGTATTTTTTTGGTAAAATGTCTTATGTGCCAGAATGTCGCAATTTGATTCGTCAACGATTACCTAATTCAAATCTTGCGCACTCATTAGATTCAAAACCATATGATCTTATTACTGATATGTATGATTTGATTTGTATTTTTTTTTTCTACAACTGTGTTCATATATTTTTCATTTTGATAGGGCTGAACCTCCTGAAATTGTTTCGAAAACAACAACAACGAATATATTCGGTAGTTCTAATAGCGAAGAAGATCAACAAGACGATTTCGTATCTCCAGTTGATACATCGGACAAAACTGGTCCACGACGATTTGTAACATATGATGAATTACGTCAAAAAAATCGAACTGAACATGCAACAAAATTTTCTGGAACGAAAGTTCGAAATGGTTTGTATTTCGTTTCGTTTCTTTTTCTTCACATTTCGTTTTCTTTTTAGATTCGCCTGCAACGAATACACCACCAAATGCGCCTGTACAAGATAATAAACGACCTGCACCATTACCAATAATCTCCAATGAACTAGCGCCAAAATCAACCAGTACAAATTCTTCTAAACGTTTGAATGCACGCAAAAATCAATACGGCGATGAAGTTTATGAATAAAGACTTGATTTAATTTCCTAAACAATAGTTATTTGTTTAGGCGAATAAAAAATTCATATTTATATATGCAGTACACAAAAATTAGGAGATTTTCTTTATTCCCCATTATTTTCTCTTGATTTCATTACTTTAAGTACGAATAGAATTACTCGTCTGATCAGATGATGATGATGCTAACGTGTCTATTGTTGATTGTGCTTCATCAATCGATTCCTCAGAAGATGCATTACTAGTTGATTTATGTAAATGTTTTTTCTTTCGCCGATGTTTGTGTGTAAATGCATGGAGGTTTTTACCGACAACAATTCTTTTCTTATCAGACCCATTACTTCTCGTTCTTATAACATGTCTAACGGTTGGCAATCGATGGTCATGATGATTTTTTACTTCAGCTTTAGCATGAACTATTTTAGATTGGTCATGATCAATTGAATTTTCACAATGAATACGAGCTGCTATTTTACCATATTGTGAATCAATGGTAAATTGATCGAATTGATGATGGTTTTTATCTGTTGTTGCGGAATTGAAATGAAATAATTTTTTAAGTAGTTCTGATGAGATGTGCACTTTTAATTTTGGAATTTTGAGATTTTTGTTTTGTTTTTCAGTAAGTAATTTCAAGAAACTGTCTGGTAAACGAATGATTAAAACCGTATGCGAAGATTTCGATGAGAATTCTATTGAAGGAAAATTATTATGGTTACATTGAATGTTTTTATCGTGAAGAATACTAAAACATATGGATGAAATATGAGGGGAAAGGGTTTTTCTTTAGGCTTACGGTTTTTCTTCATAATGATTTTGATTTTGTGCATGAATTGTTTTTCGATATCTTCTTAATGATGACGAAAATGGTAAATGTTTCGATTTGGTTGATGGGTCCCAAGGCAAAAAGGTATTACCGTGACGAGAAATATTGAAATTCTGTTGGGATAAAAACAAAAATATTTTGCTATTGAATTATTTAGAACTTTTTACTTTTTGTACAGATAATGGCACAGAATTTCTTCGAATACCCGATGGTTCATGTTGACCTGTTGTGGAATTATGGCTAATATCTTCGCTGGAAGATCGTCTATGATTTTGTTTAATGCCTGATCGTTTTACTATTTGAGGATTTAATGTACTTATTTGCATCAGATGCACTTTCGCTCTATAATAAGCGCATTCATTCGATTTAAGTTCAATGAATTTTTCTAATATCATTAATTGCTTAAGTAGTTCTTTATTTTCCTCAACTAATGAATGCAAATTTGATGTCATTTAGTAATCAAAATTTTTATGATAGAGAATAATTTGGATGGCAAAAACTAAAACATTTCCCGCAATTTTAATAATTAATTGTATTTTCTTTTTGTTTAGATTTTAAATTAGTTCAATTTATTATTGGCAAAGAAGATAAAAGAGAGAACGAGAGAGAGTGTGTGTGTGAGAGACAAATAAAAAGAAAGATTTTTATCGTCGACCGGCCCACGCATTAAAACGTCGTTTGCCTACTAGACTTCGTTTACCAGCCCAAGCATTAAATCGACGTTTTTCGAGTTCGTGTTCATCGTCTTCTTCTGAATTTATCATTGAATCATCATCATATTGATTCATTGAAAAGAATTTGTTTCGTGCCATTGCTAATGGCCTGTCCATTAGCCATTGAGGGTCAGCAGTATTTTTTTTGTCCGTCAATGTATATGCATGAGTAACACTTAACTAGAAGAAAAACGATCTTAGTAGACAACATTTAAAACAAATCATAATTTATATTTACCATCAGTAAAAAGCAGCTGAGAATACCAGTGAGAATGACAAATGTGTTCATGGTTGCGATTCTGTGTATATGAAAGGCCTACCGAAAGAGAATACATATGAATGATTGTAGTTCTCTTTTTCTTTGTTCTAGTCTATGTACTTATTCTCGTAGAAGATTACAAAATTAAATCAGTACAAATACTATTTCTTATAAGATTACAAAAGATGCAAATGTGCAATTATATAGACAGAAGCCTTGATAAAAAAATAAGATACACACTAACAGAAAGTATACCATTTCCGAAGACTTTCATTACCTATTAGTTATCGTTGAACGAGTGGTATATGTAGTGAAGTGCGTGAGAATCGTTCCTGTGCCGATGCTTTATTATTGTTATAAAAATAAAACGGGAAGTGATACAATTATTAGTAGTTCACAACATTTTCTTAATAAATAATGTTTCTCATGCATTCTTTTCTCTCTACCCACTTCTTTCTTTCTTTTTCTTCTCTCAACGATTTTCTTTAACGGAACATCTTTCTCTTCTATGTTTCTTCCGAGTCCGATAAGGTATAACGAGTTTATTTTGACTCACATATGCATATTACTACTCAAACGGCAATACAGCTGAATTATGACCGACAGAATATTCGCATAGAGAAATAACAAATGGATTCATCAATGACGAACATAAATAAGAAAATAATCATCGCGCACAGATGAATTATTGAAGAATTCGAATAATGAACGCGGCATACTCTCACTTAGCAGTTAATATTTCATTCTTATGCATCCTACTTGTCATCTAACAACGAGCCGATCGAACTGTTGAACAATGTCGTTCATGCAATTAGTAGATTCAAACAACAACAACAACAACAACAACAACAACAGCAGAAGAAGAGGAGGATCTTCCTCTTTCTACTCCCACAAGTATAAAAGAGAAAATAATAAATTGAAAATAAACATGACACAATGTTTATCCAGTTGATTTGATTCATCGAAAACTTGAGATACAGTTACAGGCATATAGTTTTATTTTTTTTTTGTCTGAACAAAAAAGAAAGCTTCGAAAATTAATTTTTTAACATATATGTTAAACAGATTATTCATGAATGGTCAATTCGATTAAGGCTTTGTACCAAATTGAACTGACACTGGTTTTAATGTTTGACGGGTTTTAGTTGTTTCACGCGGTGTTACTGCAACTGAAGTCGGCACTTGACGCCATTGTGGTTTAACAGATTTAACTGTTGATCGTTCAGCAGTAGGCGGCGGCGGTGGCGGTGGTGAGGCTGCTTTCAGACGTTTAATTTCGTCTTCTAATTCTCGATTAAGTTGATTGAGTTCATCAATTTTGATATCACGCATACGAATTTCATTTGCTCGATCACGCTCTAAGTTCAATTGTAGAGCATCCTTCGTGCATATTTGTGATAACTCAGTTACTTGATTTTTGCCATATAAACGTAGTAATAATTCATACAATGGTTTATTTTTTCGATCATCTATTGGTATATATCGACTTGTGTAAAGTGCTTCGTACAAATCTTCTTTAAGTTTGTCTGTACCTATGAATTGAAATATTTATTCAAAATTCATGTTTCTGTTTTTTCGACGGGGTTTTCTTATTTACCAGCACTTCTCATTCGAAGACCATCAATTTCTACTGTATATTGCCGAAGTTTTTTTTGTAACTGATCTGCCGTATCGTATTGCGAACCGGCTTGTAGAACGTTCATTTCTAAGGTGGTATCTTAAGTAAAAAAAGCAAAATTTCCTTTTTTTACTTATTTTTTGTTGTTTCGTATGATGTATCTAAAACGTACCTAGATTGGCAAACCAGTCGGTAAGCACTGCCATTTTATCATTCATTTTAAATAAACATCTATTATTAGCATCGACCTAGAAGTAAAATGTATGACGTTTTTTTTGTTTTATTGAAAATAAAAAAATAATCGTGACTTTTTACCATTTTAATTTGACCGGACCATCTCTGGTCAAATTCCGATTGGAGTTTATCGACTGTTTTACGAAGTTCGTTTGTTTCCTCTTCCTATACAATGTATATATATATATATATATATATCACCAGAAGATCTTTTATTTTAATTTCGTTTTTTTTTCTTATAAGACATACTTTTCGTTTCCGAGTAAGTTGTTCACTTCGCATTAAATCTTTTAAACCCATAACAGCACGTTTTTCTCTATGCAGACAGAAAAAGCATAGGAAATGATTTATTCATGATTGCAAATAATTTACTCTGCGATTGTTTCAGATAATTTTTGTTGAGCCTCATAGTGTTGCCGTTTTAGGTTAATTACTTCTACTGCTCTGGATTGATTTTGTGATTTCCATACATCATTTAAATGCGCTTTTAATAACTGAAATAAATTGGATTAAATAAGAAGAAACAGATTTATTTTCTATTGCTAATTTTACTTGTGTTTGAAGATATGTTTTAAGTTTTTCTCGTGCATCGGCGCGTAGTTTATCAATACCAGGACATTTTCTTAGCAAGTCATCATCGATAAACACTCGTTCGCTTGCATCTGGTGTTAATTCAGATGCTTTCCTATCTAAATAGATTGATTTCAACGGATATATTTGTCAATAGAAAATAAAATTTCGGTAAAATATGTTTTCCGAAAGACTTTCCCCGGTATTATTTTAATTAACAATATAGTCGAAGACAAATATTAGTTCAATGTATAGTGTAAATTTACCTTCACTGTCGAGAAGTTCACCTAAAAATGGTTGGCCATTCAAAGTTAAACCTTCAACTAATTTTGTAAAGCCTATATCACCATTATCGATAATACTCAAAAGAAACTTTTTATTTCTTTCACATGGTGATGATATAGCCTATTTAAAAAGAAAAAATATATCTTTTTTTGATTTAATGGCGAAATCGCAAGTGATTAAAAACGTACTTGAATGTCATCAAAAATAAAGTCAGGAAAAACTTTTTTCTCTTTAAACCACCGAAGGAAATTATCAGTTAGAACAATATTATTTTCCAGTAAATTATGATATCGTACTAATATATCATGTTTTTTTGAATTAACCATTGCCAGTTTCTAATGATCAATCGACGACATTGATATGTTTGCTGGTCGAATGTCTCTATCAAACATTCAATGACATTAAGAAAAATAGAATTTTCTAGTTTTCTCCCTTTTTTGTTAGTTTAAAAAATTTTTTTTTTCATCAATAGCAAACAGCTCTCAATTTCTTTCTCTCTTCTTCTTTTAACGTGCTTTTATATGCCCTATGAGAGCAGAATAACAGTCATCCGTTGACAATCATTTTTGATTTGTTAAGTGTAACTGCTAATGAAACAAAAATAAGTCGTCTAAATGAACGAGAAAACTGTTACGATTTACATTTTAGGAAAAGTGAGAAAGACAAAAAGGAAAAGAGAAATCCTACCGTGCACGAATAGTAGACGTTAAAATGTATATCATGTGATAGCATAATAGTAATCGACACTATAGAGTTATTTTGAATTTATTATCTGAAAAAATATATAGAGAGAGAGAACTTAAGGGTTCACGCATTTCCGCCCCTTCCATCGGAACCTGTCCCATAAGAGCTTTTAAAAAGTTTAATATGATAAAATGCATGTCTTAATTAAACATTAGACGGCAGCAAAATAAGATTTTGATAGACAAAGTTGCTGATTTCGATTTAGTTAAGCAATTAATAATGTAATTTCTAAAGTATACAGTACATGAAATGAATTATTAAAAGCATCGTATTAGATAGAGTCTCATATTAACAAACATTATTTATATGACGCTCGGGGAAGAAACCAAAATTAGTTTTTCTATTTCGTTAGTTCCGGTACTATTGATGATAAAAAAAAAGGCCATTAAACTATTAGTTGCTTGAAGAAATTCAACTATCTTCTTTATGAGTCATTGTTTATTTTATTAAGAATCACAGAATTCAATCAGTTTCAGGTTATTAAAAGTGTATTTTAATCAATAGCATTATTTTATTATCGAAGTTTACCACGCAAATGATCTTATTATAAGCGAAGTTGACACTTGTAATTATGTTTTTCTTATTATTTCTTCGACATCGGCAGTCAACTCTTAATTGAAATTGTTCTTCAGATATTTATCAAGTATTTCAATTACTTGATTTTTAATTATTTTCTCGTTAGTTTTAGTTTTATGTTACACGATCAACAAATGACGATGAAGAACTGTTCTGCCAAAGGAGTGATCAAAATATTTAATCGATCGGTATTGTGTTTTCCAACTGAAGTCTCATGTTCCACGAGAAAATTCAATTAGAAATGTCTCGATGAGCACTAAACACTTATACTACAAGAAAAACTTCCAGATGGCTAGTCTGAAAGAAATACGATAGCCTGGAATTGAATCAGATGATTTATTTATACGTCATTTCCATTGAATAATTTACGGACAAAAAAACGATGTATTTTCGAATACAAGAATTTGACTCTTATAAAAAATCGAGAATATGCCAAGGCATGTCGATGATTAATTCCAATCAAGAATTATCATTTTTCATAAATAAACTCCTTGAATTTAAGCGTGCAACAAAGTTTCTAGTTCACGAAATGTCATCGAAACTGTTGTTTTTAAGTTGATAGTTTTCTTTCTGTGACGAATAATAAATTTATTTAAAAAAAATACAAATATTTTCAAAAACTATCTGACAATTACAATTATTAAAAAATAAATATCGACATTATTAAAGTTTAATTTCATTTACTAATAAACTATATAACAGTTTACATAGAAAAAAAGATCTGACGTAAATATTAAGTTGAATTTAAGATATTTATTGTGCGCATTGATTGTGATGAAGCTGAAATAAAGAAAAAGTTCAGTTCAATAATCAACCGAACTGTATTATAGTTCATACCTTTTTCCATCTAATGGAAAATTCCATATTTTTCTTTGAACATCCGTTTCCAACGTGCCTACAGCAGCAACACAGCGTGCGAATGAGACAATAGATCCTAAAAGAAAAATCAAAAGTTCAAACGCCTATGTTTATTTCCTCTCTACTGCTAGTTCAAAATATCTATGAAAATAAATTTTAACTAGAAACAATCCATTCTTACCCATTATTAAAAACTTTATACTTTTTTTTCAAATACTATTTTCCAATGTTTGTATTTATATTTTAAAAATCCCATAAACATTTTCCAAATAGATTCGTCGAATTAAATATTTATTCCACAACCAATAATTTTAATCGATCTCTCTCTCGAATAATTTTTCCACGAAAAAAGTAAATTTTGTTTTTTAACAGTGATAGTTAAAGCAAAAAAGATATTAATCAAAATATACAAAAATTTTCTACCGAAGTTACATATTCAACTATCTAAACGTCCTTGCGACAAACCTATACACATCATGTAGATTCTAATCAGCGTCTAAGATATTATTTTGAGCTTCTACTCCGAAAATATGAACTGTTTTATTAGGATCTATATGATGCAAATAGTCTTGTTTCAAAAACAATTCGAAATTTCAATATGTTCCTTCATAAAATACAGAATTTGAAATAGTTGAAAAATGATAAATAATTTCTAGGGCGCCATATGGCAAAATGTCTTCATGTTATTATTTTTTTATCAATGATAGACAAGTTTTTTGGTTGAAAAAGCAAAAAGCACAAAACAAAAAACAGAGAGAGAGAGAGAGAAATAATGACAATAGACATAAACACGACAAAAAGTTTCATGAGTTAATTATTCGACAAATCTTGTGTGTTGTTTTTTTTATTATTATTTTTCTTTTTCTTCTTACTATATGAATACTAATTTTTGTTGGCAAAATCTTTTAGGAAGATAGTATTTACGAAAAAAAAAACGAAAAAAAGTCAATAAATGATTTTTTTTTTTTTTTTTTTGAGATTGAGTCCAGTATGTTTTTTTTTCTTTTGAATTAGGAATTAAAAAAAATAATTTCATCAGTTATTTGTTTTACGCCCGCTGTCTTTTAAAAGTTCACCTCTCACACGCCTTGAATTTTTCTAACAGCAACAATTAATTCCAACTATAGTTGGATTGTTGCTGTGAGTTGTAACCCTGATCTTGATACCAGTTACCACGAGCGTTCTGTTGTTGTGGGCCACCTTTATTCATATTATTTGAACCATCACCACCCATTGATCCCCATGATCCAGTGTCAGGACGACCACGTTTAGCCATCATGCCGTCATTCATCTGATTCGCTGGTCGTTTCATACCTCCTCCGTATGGTCGATTTTGTTGCATTGAATTCATACCAAAACCACTGTTATTCATACCCATTCGACCATTATTATTTTGTGGTGGACCATTAAAGGCGCCGAAATCATCTAAACAAATATATTATAAAAAATCAAAAGTCTTATCGGACTTACTTGGATTATTGGATGGACCATTATTAAAACCGCCAGGATTATTCTTTGAAAAAGAAACAATTAAGATAAGAGAAAACGAAAGTCTTTTTCTTTTGTTGTTGATATCTTACATATTGTGATGGCCCTTGATATCCTCCTCCTCCTCCTCGAAAATTATTATTGTTATTATTATTATTGTTATTATAACCACCGCGGTTATTTTGATTAAAATTACCGCCACCGCCACCACCACCAGCACCGCGGTTTCCTCCATGAAAGCCGCCACCACGATTGTTCGAAAATCCACCACGATTACCACCTGATGGGCCACCACCTCGCTAAAAAAAAGCAGAACATCACCGATTTGTAAAGAAGTCTGATTGTCCAAGTTATATCACTTACACCAATATTGCCTCTATTTCCTGGTCCTCCTCGCATTGGAGATTGTCCAGAAAAGGCCCCGAAATTATTAGCATCTATTAATAAGAATAAGAATAAAAAGAATACAAAATCATCTGTGTAAATAAACAACTCACTAAATGAATCATCTGGCGAATGCGTAGGACCACGTTGTGGATTCTTTCCCATACCACCTGACATGGGTCCAGCATGATGTCCCCCTTGTGAATTGTTGTCAAAACTGTCGCGTTGATTAAATGGTGGATCGCCTGGTTTTCGATGCTCACGTTTTACTTGTGCCTGTTTACGTTTATCACTCAATGGTTTCGCTAAACTAATTTCCACTGTATTACGTCCAAGTAACTATAATTGATAAAATATAAACTATTGAATATCAATGAGTATCTATTTACTTTTCCATCAAGTGCACGCATTGCATTCAAGGCATCTTCACGTTTATCAAAATGAACAAATGCATAGTCCTATTATTTATATTCTATAAAATCTTTTGAAATATTCGACCTTGTAAAATCTTACTCGAACTTTTCGAACACGTTCAATATTTCCATAGGGTAAAAATACATCTTTCACATCATTCTCTGATACATCCGATGTTAAATTGCGAACATACAAAACTTTAACTTGTGACATTGTATCATTATCGGGCTCTTCATCTGGGTCAGCCCAATCAACAGCAATATCACGGTTGAATATCTAGAAATTTCACTCGATAACAACAAAATCATCGTTTCACATTCTACATACCCGCACACGAGCATTTCCTAATTTTCTTTTTGCAACAGATGCATTTTTATGTGTATCGAAATCGACAAAACAGAATCCGCGATTTTTTTTCTTATCAGCTTCATCTGCTGGTGTATAAACTATCACATTTGTTACACCCTCTAAAGAAAACAAAAATCGACAATTTTTGACACTATTCGATAAACTATGTCGCATGTCCATAAACGAACAAAATATCTTACCAACAACTTTTGTTAGCTCTTCACGAATTTCTTCTCTGGCTTTTGTTTTTGGTATATTGCCAATAAATAAACGTAGATTAGCAACACTACCGTTTGCTTTTAAAAGTTTTCCTGGACGGATAGCATAACCATTGAGCTAAAAGAAAAACTCAATTCTATATTTGTCGAATGTTCGCAAAGATAAACTTACTCGTTCACATGCTTTGGCAGATTCACCTGGAGCGCAATATGTAACGAAACAATAACCTTTATTAAAACCAGACACTGGATCAATCATTAGACGTAAATCCCAAATCTTGCCAGCTTCTTCACAAATTGGAATGAGCTCATCTTCAAATACTTCGCGTGGGATTTTGCCAATAAAAACCTTTAAAAAATTAAATTAACTATAAAAACAAAATTCAAATATCGATAACATACTTCGCTATTTTGTGCTGAATACTCAGGACCATCAGGTGGAGGACCACCATATTTACGTTGGCCTGCGGTGATATCCATTTTATATCCAGTTCGTTCAAGAATTTGCTAATAAAGTAAACGCGATTTTACAGATAGAATATTTTTTTGTTTTTGAGGAGGCTCTTACTTTAAGTTTGATTTCATCTGGACCTGGCTTGTGTTTTCCATAGGTACTTCCGTTTCCATCATCACCACTATGAGAACTAGCTGAAGATTTTTGTTCTTGTGGATGGTGAATTTTCCATTGTTTAATTAAATTACATAAAAAAGCACCCTTATTAACTACGCCAGTTAAATCTGAATTATTAAATTCATTGAATAACGAATCAATACTGATTGCATCATTGGGAAATGAGCGCAGTTGTTCACATAAACGACTGTCTATATCCGATGAATTTAATTTACCTAAATATAAAAATTAATAGTGATTTTGTATGAATTTATGTTTTTACCATTTTCAATGTATGAACGAATTTTTTGTACAATATTTTCATTAATTCCCTGATCTGTCCATACTTTATCATCGGTTGTAATTGATGATTCTTGTGAAGTTTCTAATTTTAATTGTTCTAATTGTTGTTGTTGATCTGAACTTTCGGTCATGTTAAATAGTTAATTTAAGAAATGAAAATGAAGGCGACGATTTCAATGACAATCTAAAAACAATGAACGTCAATAATAATAAAAATGTTTTTGACAAATGAGAATAAATCATTGACTGAATTGAATGTAAACAAGAATACAACATATTCTCTATAGTGATTGCAAAATTAACATATTAATGCATCTATGCATTTTGACAAAAAATGAATCGATGATGGAAAGAAAGAAATTTTTTAATATTTATGAAAATAAAAGATAATTTTAATAATTAGAAATAATAAGTTATTAAGATAACATTGACATTGATTGTAGCGATTAAGAGATGTTACCTTGATGTAGATAACTATCCAAGACGTGGAATATCCCAATAGTCGAACACTTTTCTAGTGTATTGATTAAAGATGATAGGACAATGGTTTGTTCTATTTTTGGTAGGATTTTTGTATCCGATCTACGCTATTAGTAATGGTAATATTTAGTAATGGATAAATTATCGGATTTAAATAAAGTTCTTTTTTTTTATTAAGATGATCTACTTGTGGTTTCAGTTGCGACAAATGAAACAGATGGTTATCTTCGTTTCATTCGTTCATTAAATGTTTATGGATATAACCATGAGGTAGGCATAATTGCGGTTCACCAAAATTTTATGGTACATAGAGAACTTGAGACTTTTGTCAAATTAAAGGGAAGTTACTAAAGTCCCTTTCCTTGAGGGTACTGTAAAGATTGCTGTTATCTGGTATTTTTTATTGAGCATTAATGACTCGTCTATATCTGTATTTCTTATTTGTTCGATGAGTGTTTACTGCAAGAACATATGCATAGGATCAATTTTTTCTCGTTCTGCATATACGTCGTAGCACATCCCGTGCTCACACGATAGAAATAAATGAGCACTGTTTCCGAAGAAGGACATACTTATAGGAGAAGTATTTTATCTATCAAAACAATATATATATATTTTTTTTAATTTAGACATATGGACTTGGCCAACCATGGAAAGGTGGTAATATACAATTTACAGCTGGTGGTGGACAAAAAATAAATTTTCTTCGAGAAAATTTAGTTCGTTACAAAGATGATACGACAAAAATCATACTTTTTTCTGATTCCTACGATGTTATGTTTACTCAAACACCTGAAAATTTACTTGAAAAATTTGAAAAATTTAAACCAGCACGTGTTATCTTTGGCGCTGAAGATTTTTGTTGGCCAGATCAAAATTTAGAAGTAGAATTGAATATTTTTGTTGTTCTGAAATATTTCGAAAGAATTGTTTTTTATAGTATGAGTATCCATTTGTTGAAAGTAATGAAAAACGTTTCTTGAACTCGGGTGGTTTCATTGGTTATGCATCGGATATTTATGAAATGATTACAAGTAAAGAAACAATCAAAGATGATGAAGATGATCAATTATTCTACACGAAAATCTTTCTCGATAAGAATTTACGAGTAAAATAAAAATTTAATTTTCACTCAAATAAAAATAAAACAACTATTGATAATTTTTAGGACAAATGGTCCATTGTACTTGACAAAAAAGCAGATATTTTTATGAATTTAAATGGAGCTGTTGATGAAATTGAACTACCACTCCGTAATGATGAAGTTTATGTTCATAATTCATGGACAGATTCCGATCCAATTGTTATCCATGGCAATGGACCAGCTAAAGTAGGCAATCATCTCTCTCTCTCGTCAATTTTCTCTAATTATGCTATGTTTTTCTAGAGAAGTTTAAATTATTTGAGTAATTATATTGCTCGTACATGGTCATCAAATGCTGGATGTTTACAATGCAAAGAAAATGTTATAGATTTAACTAAAATTGATGATGTAAGAATATGTTCTTCATGAGGTTTTTTCTACAAATTGAGTTGTCTTTGTTTACTTAGCAAGCACAATGGCCATTAGTTTATATTGCTGCATTTATTGAATATCCAACACCGTTTCTTGAAGAATATTTCGAAAAAATTTTAAATCTAACTTATCCAAAAAATCGTTTGGCTATTTTTATTCATAATCAAGTAAGTTGATCGGACGTAGAACACTTCAGTTTTTTTTATCTGTACTATCATCTAACAACGAACTTTCTAATAGGTTGAATATCATAAAAATCTAACGGATAAATATATGTCTACATTTAAAGAGAATGAATATAAATTTGTCAAATATTTAAGTTACGATGATGATACAACAGAAGGTGAAGCTCGTCAACAAGCTATGTAAGTGTCGCATTGGTTAATTTTTGATGCAATAAAAAGTTGCCTATTGTCTATGTTTTAGTACTGAATGCCAAGAAGATAACTGTGATTATTTATTTGTTATTGATTCAGTAGTTCAACTGGATAATCCTGATACTTTACTGAAATTAATCAGTCTTAATCGAACGATTCTTGCGCCAATGCTGATGAGGCCAGAAAAGACGTGGAGTAATTTTTGGGGAGATTACACCGAAGAAGGATATTATAGACGATCACCAGATTATTTGGACATAATTAATTATAATAAAACGTATGTTATTATTTATTATTTGCTCAATAAAATATGAATTGTTTTTCATTCAGAGGTCTATTTAATGTTCCACATATTTCAAATTGTTACTTAATCAATGGAACATTTTTGAAAAAATTTACACCGCAATATATTGATCCAAGCACAGATCCAGATGTCAAATTTTCTCAAACAATAAGAGATGCTGTAAGTATCTCAATGTCTCCTAAAATTACTCGATTTTTACGTCTTTTTTTGCATAAAATTTTAGGGATTCTTTTTGTATGTAAACAATGAACTTACTTATGGACATTTGATGGATCCAGATAATTTCAATACTTCATTGATTATACCTGAACTTTACGAAATATTTACTAATTTCCTGGTAAATTTCAATATTTTTGAAGTTTAAGCTTATTATTTATTTATTAAGGATTGGAAAGCGCGTTATATTCATCCCGATTATTATAAATCTCTTGAACCAAACGCAACATTTCAACAAGTAAATAACAAAGAAATTTTTATTCGCAACTATGTTTTTTTAAAGCCATGCTTAGATGTATTTTGGTTTCCAGTCGTAACTAAGCGATTTACTGAAGACTTAGTTGATCTCATGGAAAAATTCAATCGATGGTCCGGATCTGCTCATAATGTAAAATTTAAACTAAGATAAATATGAAAAAACATCATTGATTTATCTTTTAAGGACGGACGTTTAGCTGGTGGCTATGAAAATGTTCCTACCGATGATATTCATATGACACAAGTCGGCTTGAATGATCATTGGTTATATTTTCTAAAAGAATTTATTCAACCAATACAACAAAAACTCTATACCGGTTATTTTAGCGATGTAAGTTGATTTTTATATCTCCTTGAAAGTTCATTTCTATTAAATTTTATCAATAGCCTCCGAAAGCAGCACTTAATTTTGTTGTTCGATACATGCCTGAATATCAATATAAGCTTCGACCCCATCATGATGCATCAACGTACACAATTAATATAGCATTAAACGATGCTGGCAAAGATTATGAAGTGCGTAAAAAAAAGTGAAAGTTTTATTTTGAAATGAAATTCTCTTTTTCAAGGGTGGTGGCTGTCGATTTCTTCGATATAATTGTACAATAGCAGGAACACGTCGTGGTTGGACATTGATGCATCCGGGACGTTTAACTCATTTTCATGAAGGTTTACCAGTATTGAAAGGAAAACGATATATTATGGTGTCATTTATTGATCCTTAAAAGAAAATCAAAAGTATTCATTTAGTCATTTTTATAATTATCATGTGTGCTGCTTTTGCAGTTTTTTTTATTACACCCAAGGGTGCTATTTACAGATTTTTTTGTACTAGTCGACTTAAAAGTCAGTTTTATGTTTTATTAGCATTTATTATATAACTCAGCAGTTATCAAAAAAATATGTTACTTGTTTGAAGTGTTTTAGTTTATACTTTTTTCTGTTATGAAATGATTTTCAAAGAAATCGCAATTTTTGTTGTTTTCTCATGTTTTGAATACATAAAACAATGTTAATCTGTTTTTTTCCAGATATTGAAATGTCTACTACAACTGAAAGTTCATCATTTATTTCCAATACACTAAAACGACGTCAACAGAAACGACAGGAAGCAAGTAAAGTATTGCAAGAGGGTATTAGTTCGCTTCATCTTTCATCAATACCCAATGAACAGCAAGCGACCCATGAAGGAGGCATCTATCCGCTTTTCAATATCGATCCCGAATCATATTTATTAGAAGAAGGCGATGAACGGTCGATGCTTGAACCGAATTCATATAATAATCCTAATTTTAAACAAACAATCAACGTTTTATTTAATTGGCTCAATACGAGTTTAAGTAAAAATTCAATTATCATTCGATCATTTGAGAATGATCTCTATGATGGCTATATACTCGCAAAACTTATTGAATATTACCAACCTCACGTTCGATTACTTCTTGATGATATACCACTATCCGAGGAATCAAAAAAGAAAACACTTGAACGTGTTCTTAATTATCTCGAAACACGCTTTAGTCAACAAAATCTGCCAGTTCAATGGACATTCGAACAAGTTTATAATCGGGATTTGATTTGTATTTTACATCTTCTTTTAGCATGCATGCAACTTTTTAATGTTAACGCACGTTATGATTTACCGAAAAATTTACTTCTGAAAGTCATCGTTGTTAAAAAAATCAACGGCATATTACAAACAAGAATTGTTAACGAATGTTTTATTGATGATTATGAAAGAGAATTAGCATCAGTAAGTGAAAATATTATGTTCAATCTCACTTTGATTATATTTTATACTTGATGCTATTATTCTTTAGGAAATGTCTAGAAAACAAGGCGATCTTATCGATACGTTATTCGATTTAGCGCCTGACAGATTAGCAGGCGTGGAAAAAATATTACTAAATTTTATCAATAATCAATTGAACCGCTACAATATACATGTGAAACAAATTGATATAGAATATTTTCAAGATGGATTAAACTTACTTTATTTAATATCTAATCTTGAAAATTATTTTATTATACTCAATAAATATTATCATAAGAAGCCGTTAACACGGGAACAATCGCATGCTAATATTCAATTGGCTTTTCAACTTATGAATCAAGGTAAATTTTCTATGGATAGATCACTTTTGATATCAAACTGAATACTCGTGATAATTTACCTCGCGTCAAAGTTATCAAAAAAAGCGATTTATCAGTTGAACATTCTTGCTAGTTAGATAAGGCGATTTTTTTCAATGTATTTTCTTTTTGTTTTAGCTGGCATTGAAATTGATCAATATTGTCGAATCAATGATCTTATTTCAGGAAATCAAAGAACTTTATATCGGCTGCTTTTTCAACTTTATCTCAGATATAATAAAGATTCAAATAATTTATTGAAGTCAATTTCGTCTCTGGCATCTGTTCGTATGGATGCTGACAGTCCGTTTCTATGAAAAACTCTTTTTCAGCTAATATATTCGTTTGGCTTCTAAACAGATCGTTCTTTTTATTGTTTATAATATGCATGTCACAAATTATTTTGCTTTTTGTATGCTTTTCTTTTTGTCAGATTTAATTGGAATGATAAGAATGAGTTAGATAATAAATCTAATTATTGTTGTATGACTTTCAAAAATTTGCAGCTATCGATGCTTTATAAGCGTAACCATATGATAAAGTCAATAAGTATTTTGTGCGGGGAGGGGGGGGGGCAAGACCTCCAGAGTACACATTGTTAAGGGATTTGTTTGCTCTCCGCTGTTTCAAACGCACCGTTTCAAATATTTTAATTTTGTTAGTATAAGACAGTTATTTGTTAGATAATGCAAAAGAATCCATCCAATCATTTACTGCTAAACTATATGAAATACTAGACTATGGTTAGGATGCTTGAAAGGAAAAAAGATTAGCTCTTTTTGACTAACTCAATCATAAATAAAAGTGATACATTTCTCAACGCTTTATTTTGAAAATATTGGTTCTTTATTTATTCCTTGGTGCGTTGACTGATTTTCAAAAGAGTTGTAACGGTTGTCTTCAGGATGTCGGTGAGCGCAAGTCTCATAGTTTGACTCACACTCTTGTCTGGAAAAACCTTTTAATATCACTAGACCGATATAAAAATGGTGAGATGATTGATTTGGATACGTTGGTCCAAGAGAGCTTTATTTATAAAAATGTAACGGTTTATCGTGAATTCTTGGTGAAAGGATTTCGAGGCAAGCTTAAACTTCCGATTTTATAACTATTCCCAAGAATAATTCATGTTCCAGTGTAATAAATCCAACTTTCTGTCATTGTTGAAGGCACCAACTCGAACAGAAAATGGATGGGTATGGGTGTTAATGTTGAGCTCTCATAAGTTCATACTGACATCGGCATCGACATTGACACTCACAGCTATGTACACTCAACTAACGTTGATGGCACGATAGCCTCAAAGATAAGTGACATTCAAGTTGATTACCAATAATCCAGTATATATTCAATAGATTGACTTGAACAATCTTCCACAGTTGTTCTAGTTAATAAACTGAATTTTGCTTTTATTCAGATTTAAGCCAATTTGTTTCAGAAAAATAGCAGTAACAAAATCGTGTTCATAAAAGCATCGGTATTTTCCCACTAGATTTCATCCAAAGATACCACGTGCATCTTTAGTGTGCCAGTTCTAATTGGCTATATCCGAGTATACCATTAAACTCAATGATGATACTAATATTGACAATATTCTCATCTAATCGTAACTTGGTCAAAAGACTTTTTCTATATCCATCTAATCAGTAGCGGAGTCAGGGAGCTACAGGGCTCAGGGGGGGGGGGGGGGGGGGGGGGGGGGGGGGGGGGGGGGGGGGGGGGGGGGGGGGGGGGGGGGGGGGGGGGGGGGGGGNCGCAGAGGTTTCTGAGCCCCCCTAGCCAAAGTTTTGAGAGATGAATTTTTTTTTATGAAAAGATGTATAAGTCTTTGCAATTGAATACTTTAGGTTATTGTGTGAAGCTCGTATCTATCTCGGAAGAGAAAAAAAAGACTTTAATTCGAATTCCCAATCAGGTTCTAGAAATTATAACCTATCCTTCCAACACATAACTAATGATTGGAAGATTTTCAGATAATATGTTGTTCATTATCACTCAACTAGAATGCATTTCAGACGAGTCGAAAGTTCTTCTATGGCTTAAGTTTTGCCCCTTTTCGAAAATGGACTAATAAATGTTGTGGATATTTTTATTCAAATATAGTGAAGGATTTAGTACAGAGCGTGAAAAGTTACTTTCCATGGTGCGGTAATAATTTTTTGTTTGAACCGTAAGCTACTTTACGAATATGTTAAAAATTGTTGTAATCCGTCGTTTTCCAGAGCAGATACTTCCCGACAAAGTGGGATATTGATTTAAACTAGCTTTAAATCAATTAATGCTGCACGCATTTCTTAAAGTATTCCTCTTCGGAAAATGATTTTTAGCGAAAAGTCGATTTTTTAGAAATGAGTTTTGGAAAGAACATTAACTGAAATGCCTGAGGGAAAGCCAAATAAACTTCATATAGTACATTTTGTAGGATATCTTTGGTTCTGCAAGCTGATTTATAGGGCAGGATACGAGGTTTTCGTTTCGAACTGAAAACCAAAATACAAAAATGACGGAAAAGCTTCTATCTTAATTTATTTGCTTGATTTTCTGAAAGCTATTTCACTGATTACTTTATTTTTTCTTTTTTGGGCATTAAGAACATGCGTCAGTTTGATGCGGCCTTGCTGCACTATCAGATAAAACAGTAGTAAAAGTTTTTGCAACCCATCCTATTGAAAAAATCAAAATACATAGAAAAAAATTGTCTTATGCATCAATAACTGAGGGGGCTCGGTCCGCGGGCGG